ACACCTGTCCACAGAATCTCTTTCTTCCATTCAAACCTCACCACTATGGGCTAGACCAAAGACCAAAGAGCTGTCAAAGGACATTAGGGGCAAGATTGTAGACCTGCACAAGGCTGGAATGGGCTTCAAGACTATCCGCAAGAAGCTTGGTGAGAAGGAAAAGAACTGTTGGAGCGATTATTCGCAAATGGAAGTAATACAAAATAACCATCAAATCAACCTCAGTCTGGGTCTCCATGCAAGATTTCACCTCAAGGGGTAAGGATGATGATGAGAAAAGTGAGGGATCAGCCCAGAACTACACGGGAGGAGCTTGTGAATGATCTCAAGGCAGTTGGGACCATAGTCACCACACAAACCATTAGTAACACAATACACCGCCATGGATTGAGATCCTGCAGTGCCCGCAAGGTCCCCCTCTTGAAGAAGGCACATGTACAGGTCCGTCTGAAGTTTGTCAATCAACATCTAAATGATTCAGAGAAGGCTTGGGAGAAAGTGATGCGGTCAGATGAGACCAAAATTGAGCTCTTTGGCATTAACTCGACTTGCCGTGTTTGGAGGAAGCAAAATGCTGACTATGACCCTAAGAACATTATCCCTACAGTCAAGCACGGAGGTGGAAACATTATGCTTTGGGGCTGTTTCTCTGCTAAAGGTACAGGCCGTTGCCGCATTGAGGGGCCAATGGACGGGGCCATGTATTGTAAAATCTTGGATTAGAACCTCCTTTCCTCAGACAGAACACTGAAGATGGGTCATGGATGGGTCTTTCAGCATGACAATGACCCAAAACATACCGCCAAGGCAACAAAGCAGTGGCTCAAGAAGAAGCACATTAAGGACATGGAGTGGCCTAGCCTGTCTCCAGACCTTAATCCTATAGAAAATTTATGGAGGGAGCTGAAACTTCAAGTTGCCAAGCGACAGCCAAGAAATCTTAAGGATTTATAGAAGATCTGTAAAGAAGAGTGTACCAAAATCCCTCCTGAGATGTGTGCAAACCTGGTAACCAACTACAAGAAACGTCTTACCTCTGTGCTTGCCAACAAGGGTTTCTCCACCAAGTACTAAGTCATGTTTTGCTTGGGGATCAAATACTTATTTAACTCGCTGAACTGCAACTCAATTTATAACATTTTTCTGGATTTTTGGTTGATATTCTGTCTCTATCATTTAAAATACACCTATGATAAAAATAATAGACCTTTCATTTCTTTGTAAGTGGACAAACTTACAAAATCTGCAGGGAATCAAATCATTATTTGCCACACTCTATGCCCCAACATTTAAAAAACAAAAAAAGTGGCCAAATATGCAATAATGTACCTGTGTCTGCGCCACTCGCACCTGGCTGCAGAATACAGCTTCCCAAATGGCCATGCAGGAGGAAATGTGTGCTGATGCATGCGCACTTGAAATCACTGGGGGGGAGAGGAGGAGTGACACAGTGTAAGCAAATGAACTCACGCTGCAAGCACGCGCGCAGGACAGACTCTGTGGGACACAGGAAGAAATAGGAGTCGGCGCTGGATCAGAGAGCAGCACCAGCACTGAGGGGACTGTTGAAAACAAATGGAAGGAAGAAGATATTTGCAGCCAGAGGCATCACACAATGTAAGTATGTACAGCAGCATTAGGGGGGACATAAAATCAGCCTTTAATGTCACTTTAAATGTTAAAAATGTAGCTTAACTATTAACACAAATTAAGCTTATTTGTCCATCACAAATCCATCAAATCATCTCTGAATTCATATTGACACTGTCCTTCCTTCTGGAGGGTGGCTACTTTTGTTACCCATGGTCTCTGCGTGTTTTAAAGTGGATACCGCTCCAAGATCACTCCCACTATGGACTACAATCTCATGTTTAGTTTATTAGCTTGTATTGCAATTATACTTTATCTTGGAGCGGTGGCTACTTTACAACACACAGGGGCCATGGGGAACAAAGTATCCACCCTCCAGAAGGAAGGACAAGTGTCATCACCAATTCAGAGATGATTTGAGGATCTACAGCCGAGTGATACACAAATAAGTTAATTTTTTTGTTTATAGTTAAGATATTTGAATGCATTTTTAAGATTTAACACCACTTCCTTTAACAGGGTGACAATGCTGCTCATTCTGGAGTGCAATCACTGTGGACATGGTAGTCTTATATAAACATCTAGTATTAAGTTGACTTTAAAAAAATCAGACAAATGAAAGTCCAGCTCCAGCTAACACTTTTTACACAGCTGGGGAAAAAAGAGAGATCAAAAACGCCAGTGCCCATGTTATATAGTTTGTCCAAACCCCTGTAATTGTCACTATTGTTAGACAGCTTCCTCTGCATGAATATGTGGAGAACAATATAAAAAAGGCAGGTGAAATGAAAAAAAAAACAAGAGCATTCCAGAACCAAATACTATCATTACTGGTATTAACTACATAGAACTACTAAAATACAATGCGGGGAATTCATAAAGCATGTCACAGACATTCTGTAGAATGCTCTCATGCCTCTGCACAACAAATGTCAGTGCTTGTGATAGAATCATGTCCATGTTGGGAACAGGCATTTGAATGTCACATGTAGGCTGGCACTGAGGCTGGCATGCCCCAAGCAGACACTCCATGCTCAGTGCAGCTCAAGAACTTCAAGCTTATTACAAATCATATGCTCAGCGTTACTGTGCTCGCTGCCTGGCCACTGCACTTGTTACACAGGCAGGCACAACAGCCAGAGTTTTGCTGTTGGGTGAGCAGAGCCTGATGGTGATTCTGAGTGACTAGTTCCCCATCAGGTCCACATACCTTGCGATTGTCAGGAGAAAGCAGTGGGCAGCTTACACATACACTACTAGCAATGAAGTCCACCCACTGCATTCCTATGTCAAACACAAGGTAGGCCTGATGGGGAACTAGTCTCTCAGCATCCCCATCAGACTCTGCCCACTGTCAATATTCAACCACATGTCATTGGTTGCTAGGATGCTGGCAGCCTGCACCCTAGGAAACAATGAAGCTACACAGCCAACAGCATCCAAGTAACCATTGACTGGGAAGGGGGCAGCGGCTCATGCAAACTGCTCTTTAATACATAGTCCCTCTCTGTACCCCAATTTAGAGTTGGTGTTAATGAGCTCCGGTTGAATCTGTCCTAACCATATTGACATTATGAAAGTGGTACAAATAAGAACTACCCAAATCTGTCACACCTATCGGAACTATTGATGGAAGTGTCACAAGGCTTCCATGAATTAGACACACGACGTTCTAACGTCACAATACCCTCAGAAAGGTGTCACAAATTATTTATTGGATTGCTCCCAATCTATTCCCTTTCACTATTGTAACCGTGAGCTGCTACTGTAACCAGAGTACACATAACACTGAATACCTTTCAGTACTGCCCTCCTACTTCTCATGCCCGAATATAAAGTGTCAGCACCCAGCTCCCATGTAAACCAAGACAATGGCTTTACCTCTTACACTTCTCCAGCACAGCTCCGTGGACTTTTATCACCGCCGCCGGGTGTTTTCTGATATTGTGTTTATGTCTCTGTGACCCCAGCTCAGGTACCGCCTCTTCCTCACCCTGTATCT